GTCAGGCCTTTCTTATTAACCTCAATGATAAAACAGGAATAATACCCAAGAGGATGGAGAAGCACTTGTGTAAGTAATGCTGGCACAAACGGTTAATTAAGGGTAAACAGGTCATTCTTGCTATTCTTGAGTTCTGTGAGTGAGTAAACAAGTACATATTTGGTATTGTTTAGTGGCGAATCTGTTCTTTTGCTGTTTTAGGCAACACCAGTCCTCATACCTGACTGATATTTTTATAATTATGTTGTTCTTACATTCATTTCATTGGCCCTATTAATTGGAGTCAGTAGTATTAAAGAGGAGAGGCTCTTGGTGATAGGCTTAGAGTGTATGGCTATGGAAGAAAATGTGGCTCCTCTACAGATTACTTGGCAAAAATAAATATATTATCTTTTTCTTTTAATCTAGATTTTCTTTTTTAGGGGACCCTCTGGATCCATTTCCTCTGAGATGATAATGATATCAACTGCTGTGGACTGAGTGTGTCCTTCCAAGGTTCCTATTTTGAAACCTAATCCTCAGTATGATTGTATTTGGAGGCTGGGAGGGACCTTTGGGAGGTGATTAGGCGGTGAGGGTGGAACCCTGATGAATGGGATATAAAAGAGACCCCAGAGATTGGCTCGCCCTTCACAGCAGGGAAGGTGGCCCACTGCATTGGAGGTAGGTTCTCCCCAGACACTGAACCTGCAGATGTTGGGATCTTGGACATTCTAGTCTCTGGAACTGTGAAAGATAAATTTCTGTTGCTTTTAAGCTATCCAGTCTGTGGTATTCTGTTACAGCGGTCTGAGTAGACTAAGACATCAACTATTAAATTGTGCTTTATATTATTTATTAGCAAATGTATATTTTTCCTCCTTTAGCATCCACGATATCATGCTACTGCTTCCACTCCTTCAATAATCTGCTCTCTAGCTAGTCTCCTTTCTCCTTTCTCATTTTTATCCTTTCATTGTGATGTAAGACTTAAGGTTCCCTAGAAATTAAGTACTTGAGCCCTTTTTTGGAGCTTCTGTATATTCTTTAGGAGGAAACGTTCATCATTCTCATGCATCCCACCATCATCTATATATTTTAACTTTCAAGCAGACATCTCTTTCTGGTTTAATTCTCTTTCTTTCAGTGATTTCTTGTCATACTTTGGATACTGTCTGTTAAATTATTTCCAGGCCAGGATTGAACTCTTTTGTCTTCATTTTCTAAACAGTGCTTTCCTGACTTCTTCTTCACCATCAACAGTACCCAAAAGCTGAAATCAGACCCCCCCCCGCCGCCATTTTACTTCTCACTCCATTTATTCTTTCACCTAGTCCTGATTGATTCTTTCTGTAATTTAATTTGCTAATGTCTAAGCCCTGGCACCATATTTAAAGCTTTAATTACTTAGTTTCATATTAGGTTTATAAATCACTGAAACAAGAAAGTTTGGCCTTAATTTAGTCCAACTCCTTTATTCTATAGATGAAGAAACAGATTCAGTTTAAATGACTTCCCTTAGGTCACACAGCTAGTGAGTAGCTAATGTTACAGCTTTCTGGTCTCAACAATTAATACTTCTCTTTTTCTTCTATAGTGTCTTCTCTAACTTGCATTTGTCTCTTTGTTTTGCCCTCTACCTTTTGTGATAGAGGCTTTCCTGACATGTCTGGTAGTCTCTGGGCTTTAGTTCATGCTTAAAAGTCAGGGATACATACACACAACACACAGAGTTAAACCATATGAAATTCCCATCTTTCCCAGCTTTGTCTACTATTTATGAATATATTTAGCTCTCAGATTTCATTTCTACATAATATCCCCCACTAGAAGGAACCTTGGAGAAATGGCTGATTTCAAAGCTGAGGCAGAGAATGTCCAAGATGATCTGGAACATGTTGTTATGCCATGAAATAAGGAAGTGCTCAAAAAATAAAAAGCCCATAGGATTCTGTTTGAAGGGACTCCCATTGGCCAAATCAGGGACAATTTGAGCATACGAATAAATAATAACATTAATAAATGAAATAATGTGTGAGGCCATACCATTAATGAATTAAAGAATGAGTGGGGAGAAGGGAACATACTTACAGAAGTTAGAATGTCAACTGAAAATGTAGAAGGAATAGTAGAGTTAACAAAAAATCATGATTTTATAGCCATCAGAGTAACAAATGATTCAGAGAATTGCCAGTGGGTACTAAAACTATTGTGTGAGTGTTTTAACAACATAATCTCAAAATATTTTCCCACAGATTACTTATTAAATTACTGAGGGAAAGGTTGTTATTTTACAGTGGAGAAATGGCAGTTGTCATTATAACCAAGTGATCAGAGTGATCACCAGTAATGGGACAAATGACATCGTCTTGTATGACTGTGTGATACTTTAGGGGGAAAAAACTTCATTTATGTAGTATTCCTTCCAGAAATACATACTCCTGTATTCTCCAGAGATATTAGTGAAGTGAGATGCAAAGAAATGCTGAAGATCTGTTTCAGAAGAGACGAAGTGAAGGTGATTTATAATCCTGCGTGCGGTGAAGGGAGGTTGCCATCAGAGACATGATAGAACAGTTAGCAGAATCAGGATATGTACTGTATAACCCATATTCAACAATCAGTATATTAAATTCCTCATTGTGTAAGGTAATATCATTCTTGGGAAATCTGTAGTGAACTATTTAAGGGTAAGGGACTGATGGCTACAGTGACTCAAATGTTTGGGCTGTATGTGGAGGGGGTGGTGAAGCAAGAGTGATGTCATGATCAGCTGGAGATCTAGGGGAAGGCTCTTGTATTGCTCTTGCAACTGTTCTGCAAGGTCACAAGGGAAGTTTTTTTCCTGAAAGACTGGAATAAGAGTGGTTGGTTGAAGGGTCCAGTTATGGGTGGGGCTTCTTGGCTGTGAGCTTCCCGGCAGAGTTAGTAGTTGAGCTCCTTTTTCTGGCAAGTCCAAGTTTCAGTGTTCTCAGTTCTGTTTTTCTTGAGGTCAGTCAGATCACTCAGAAGACACTTTCAGTCTTCAGCCTGGCTGGGATTGTCAGGGCCCAGTAGGAGAATCTGGCTGGGGTGGCGAGGCAGTGGATGTGCCCGTGTCTTGGCATTCACTCTGCAGTTCATACAACCCCTCTATTCTCAGTGTGGCAGGCCATCTGCAGCTGTGCCAGGATCTCCAGTTCAGAGATCTTCCTTCTTGGCTTCCTCTTGTCATCTGCTTGTATTGCAAGAGGGAGAAGAGGGCAAGGAGATTTAGGGCTCTAAGTTCTTTTTCAATGAGTATTTCTTTTGCTCCCTTCAGCACTCCTCCATTTGGTCATCTTCTCCTTGTCCTTGTGGATTGTGCCTTTAAAAAACAAGACAAAACAATGAACACGGGCCTTTTAATGTAGCATTTCAATGTTCAACATACACTTTGAAAAACATTTTTTTATTAAGGTCCTGTTGATATTCACTCTTACGAAGATTTCACATGAAAAAACAATGTGGTTACTACATTCACTCATATTATTGAGTCCCCCCCACACCCCATTGAAGTCACTGTCCATCAGCGTAGTAAGATGCCACGGAGTCACTACTTGTCTTCTCTGTGCTACACTGTCTTCCCCATGATCTCCCCCACACCATCAACATACACTTTTTACCCAGAATTCCCGTTCCACACTTGTACACTATTCTATACTCTTTTCTATCTTTTGATCTTATTTTTTGTATTTTCAGACTTTAGAATGAAAAAGTTTCTTAACATCAGTAATATAAACCCACTCTTTCCCCTAATTAGTCTACATGAAAAGACTGTGAGCAATTAAAGATCCTTTTCCAGAAAAGTGGGTTATATATCAGCATATTTGTTATGACTTCATAAGCACCTGGGTTCATAATGCTGCCAGCACTGTTGATGGCTGTGTTTTCCTTTGGCTTCCCTGGATGAATGCACAGCACTGGAGACTGCAGCTCCACTGGGAGCCTGTGGTTGACTGGCCTACGAGTGAGTGAAGTGTGTGGTCTTGGCGGGTGAGATGAGATCAGAACTACCTGTGATGTTTAGTACTTCTTACACTAACTTGCTGAGCTGATCGTGTCTAAGGAGTGTACCTGAGTGTGGTGGTACGTGATCTGTTCTTATGACTGAAAGCAAAAACATAGATGATTAAGTATACCTCTTCAAGTGTATATTCAAAAAGCACTTAACTGATAAAATGTTTGTTTTTAGAATTACATATTCTCCTTTCCATTTTAGCCTAGGTTTTTCAGTTTTTGTTAATTCGTTTTATTTCAACAAGCAATCACCTTTGTTTCTATTAATCTTACTTGAGGGAAAACATTGAGTTGAGATCACAGTGTAATGTGACTTTTATGCAAGAAAGGCATTAAACGAACATTTTTTTTTTTGCGATGCCATGTATACTGGATTTCTAAAGAGTATATTATCCTTAGTTTTGAGTCTTTTTCTGTAGTACTCTGTCATGAATGAAGTGCCATGGAGGACACATTATAGTCCTTTGATGAAAAGCATTTGTTAATTGACATTAGAGACAGAATTTTGCTATAGCTAGTATTTCAGTGACCTTAATGTTCTGCTTACAGTTCCTAGTAAAACAGTTTGATTATTTAAATGTGTTACACGGGGCTACTTTGGGGGATTTAGAAGGAGATACTTTTAAAGTTTGTTTTTATATTTTAAAGTATGATGCCTTTCCAGTCAACCCTATGTTGGATTAAAATATTGATGTTTTCATAAAGTAAAGATACAAATTTTTTCTTATTTACTCACTAATAATGCGATTATGGTGTCTCTATTTCTGGGTTATTATTTAGTATAGGATAAAAGCTGAGGTGGAGGGATGACAGTGCCTTTTTTTCCTGTTTTTTGTATAAAAAAAATTTCAGTTAACTGGAGCTTTTTATCCTCTGAAGTGTAGTTCTTGTGCAGAATAAGACCCTGAACCGGTACCTTTAATGGCAACTGTCATCAGACCAGAGGAGAGCACACCGTGACGCTGTGCTCTTTGTCTTCACAGGAGAGCTTCTCTTCCATGCCGCATCCTGCTTCGTTCCTGCTGAACTGCTAATACAGTAAACTGGAGGATAGCTGTTCCCAGGATAACCTGTAATGGGCAAGGAGCTAGAGAGAAGAAAACATTTCTTTTAATTTTTAAACTTGGTTTGTAAAGGTAAGACCATTAAGATTATCAGGAGTCGCCTTCCATGAGTCACACCAAGGAAAGCAGTGTTCTGTTGTGAGACCCTCGAGGCTGGATGAGCTGGGGATTGGTCATCTCTGTTAAGGTCTGAGATGATTCTATGGCATTGAGATATTTTTAGGAAGTTAAAGAGCAGCCTCTGTAGTTTGCTCTGGCATGTCTTGGAATCTGCAGCACTCATAGGATTCCCAGTTTCGTGGGGGAATTGAGCTGGGCCCTAAGGGGACCCGTCATGCCTAGCAAACTGAATTAGAGAAAGAGTAGAGACTCTGTTAAATAGAGACCCAGCTGTTGCTTCTAGGTCATCTGGCTATGTGTGTGTGTGAGAGAGAGAGAGAGAGGTCACTTTTGTTTTTGTTTTACACTACCCAGAAGGCATCTGGTTTCTAGCCAACCACCTGACTCCTTTTGAGTCCTAATTGCTATCACTTTGGAACTCTTTACTGAAAAACTTCTTACTAAAGATCAGAGGTTGACTTTGCATATTTGACTTCTGGCTTAGTTAGCATTTAATAGAAAGTGGACCAACAGGGCCTTTTTAGGAATATGGACACATCGTTTAATCCATTTTCATTTTCATTTTGAAGAGAATGTAGGCACATAAACATTAATCATCTACCTTTTAGGCTTCGTTATATTAGGAAATACTATAGCTGTTCTTCTGAAAACAGGTCTTTGCTTCTAATCCTTAGCTGATCTTTTCTAGGCAAAATACCACTTAGGCATATGATCTTCCCTACTTTCAGCCCCTCATGAATGACTCTGCCCTATATTTGAGCCTCCCCTTGTGCTAACACAGTGAGGCTCTGTCTCCTTGCCCTGATAGTCAGGTTCTTTTAAAATCTTGAGACTTCTCCACTTTATCTCTGTATCATTCTGCATGAATCCCTTGGGAAGAGCTCCCTCTGAGCATTCATTCTTTCATTCACCTTTTGGTACCTTTCATATAGGTGATTTTTTTTTGTTGTTGTTATTTTGTCATGGGGCCCAGCCCTTCTCTTTTTCTGTGTAGGCATACATTCTTTCTTTTTTTTTTTCCTTTATTTATTTTTTACTTTGGTATGATTAATCTACAATTACATGAGGAACATTATGTTTACTAGACTCCCCCCTTCACCAAGTCCCCTTCATGACATACTGCATTAGTCACTGTCCATCAGCATAATAAGATACTGTAAAATCACCACTTGTCTTCTCTGTGTTGCAGAGCCCTCCCCATGACCCCCCCACATTATACATGCTAATCGTAAGGCCCCCTTCCCCCCACCTCCCCGCTTCTCCCTCCCTTCCCACCCATCTTCCCCAGTCCCTTTCCCTTTGGTAACTGCTAGCCCTTTCTTGGGTTCTGTGATTTTGCTGCTGTTTTGTTCCTTCCGTTTTTCCTTTGTTCTTATATATTCCACATATGAGTGACATCATTTGGTACTTGTCTTTCTCCGCCTGGCTTATTTCACTGAGCATAATACCCTC